AAAAAAAAAAAAAAAAAAAAAAAAAAAAAAAAAAAAAAAAAAAAAAAAAAAAAAAAAAAACTCAAATCCCTCAACGTTTAACATCTAGAAAGTCATGCAACGAGCTATCAAGAGGGAAGTACCCATGCAAGCGATGGTGGTTGGAAGCGAGAATGTCAGCTTGAGAAATGCAAATATTGGCGAGAATCCAATTCCTCGAAAATTTAAAGGTTCCTCCGCGAGGTTCGTCCACAGAGGATGAGTCAGGGCCTAAGATTAGACCAAAAGGCATAGTCGATGAGCAACTGATGACTATTCAAGTACTACCCGTTGTTCGTCCCGAGGGACAGAGGAGGCTAGGTTAGTCGAAAGATAGTTATCAGCTTAACCTATCTCAAACCAATATTTTTTTATTATAATTAAAGTAAATTTCAAAACAAAATTGAAATTTAAGTCTAATGGACTAATTGATTTTAAAAAGTATTGACAAAGTGTTATTACAATAACGAATCATTTCATACAATAAAAATTGGTGTTTACAATAAAATAACTTATTCTGTAAAGAATCAAAGAATTATACAGTGTTATGCTATTCCTTCTACTTCTCTTATAATATAGCCATCTTTCTCTCACTCATTTACATATAACCTGGCCTGCATTCTTCGGTTCACAACTGCATATTTTATCTGATTGCTTCCTGCACCAAAATGTTCTTCCTCCAGTACTTTGTTGCCCCGAGACGACACCAACAATCAACCCGGGATTTCCGAGGCTTTGTGGACTTAAACTCTGATTGTTCGAGGCTTTTCGCTATGTTGGTAGTACCAGTGATGAGCTGTTGACTTATTTGGTATGAGCATCAGAGCTGCTGTTGCACATACATTCAGGAATAGGGTACTTGGTAACGTCTCGGCCGACTTTGCTCGTTCGAAGTTCGGGCTGTCCAAGGGAGTCCTGATGCAGCACCTTGATGATCTTGTTAAACTCTGCTTCAGGGAGTGAGGAATCCAAGAAAAAGGGAAGCATGTGCCTTTTGTTTGGTGTTATGTACTTCTTGTGCCCAGCATAAGCCCTGTGTCCCTGTAATAGAACGAACAACCGACTCGTTATGATCTTATGATCGAACTCGAGAAGCAAGTGTTTTCACACGACACCAGTGAACTAGTAGTAGAAGAAGAATCTGTACCTGAATGGCATGGCCCATATTTCCTCCGTGAGAAGGCATGAAAACGTCGCTGCTCTCACAAACAATATAGTCAATAGCAGCCATAAACGAAGCTTTTTTCGTAAAAGGTTCGAGTTCGCTCGCCAAAGCAAGATCTTCCTTGTTGTAAAAGTTTGGGAACTCCCTTATTAATGGTTGCAGGGCTTCTTTTCCTCCTAGCGGTTGCCCTCCGGCCCAATATATTCTCGTATCCCCCGGTGCTCCGAGCGCTTTTAGTAACCTGAGTACGTTGCGAAATTTAGTTGAGCAGAACCTAAAACAGTAAATGATCAACAATGACAAGCGCATGGTTAAGATATCTTTACCTCATAACCTCATAGGCATTCAGGGGACAAAGGCCTGCAAGTTTTCTATCATGGTAGCTCATGTTTGATCTAGCAGTTAAGAGTTCGGGTCTTCGTATTCTTTCGTTGTTTATCATCTCATCATATTCCGGACTCAACCCAGGTAGACAACCGGTTCTCACCCATACATCCTTCTCCATTCGTAAATGAAGAGCGAGGTACGGTCCTTTGCTTCGCATTCTCTCCGTAAGCTTGTTACCGAGTTCCACAATTGGTGGAGCGAACCTCAAAGCATGAAAAGCAACCTAAAGCACAAACAGGAAAAAGAACAGCAATTAACACTGATATCCCCTCATTTCATCAGAATTATTATGGCAAATTTACTTATAAAGCAGCAGCGATAAAAACACGATATGTTATTGTCCAACTCGACTGAGTCTAAGCGACAAACAACTAATCAAGAGATCAAAAAGAGTTATTTACAAGAAGAAAAAACCTATAATACCTTGCATCTGAGCTTTTGAAGATCAGAAGGAAGATCCTTAGAAAGCCTCGAGTCCAAGCCACGCAGCAGCAGTACCCCTTCTCGTCTTAGCTGCGAAATTCAACACACGTACCTTAATATCGTCAAGCTACTAACCAAAACGTTTTGCAGTGACAAAGAACATAAAAACTCTGTCAAAAAACATAACGACAGCTAGATGACACAAAAGCTTTAGTTGATAATATGTAGCTGTTTGGTCAACCTTAAAAGACAGGGCATATATGTTGTGTAGGAATCCAGACAGACAGATTTACACTTGTAGTTCAAATTATGCACGAAACCAACTGCTCTAGTAATTATTCAGCGTAAAATCAAATTAACATCCACGCCCACACGTAAAAAGAGTAAATATATTTTCGTAACAACCTGAACTCACCGCTAGCAGATATTGTCCTATTTAGGCTTTCCCATTCACTCTTTCCCTCGAGGTTTTTTTTTTAAAAACGCGTCTGCTAGGAAGAGGTTTCCACACCCTTATAAAGAATGTTTCGTTCTCCTCCCCAACCGATGTGTGTCTCACAATTTTAGCCTAACAATTTAAGCTTTCGGGTTTAGTAGTGAGAAACGAAACTTCAATCCAATATCCATGCATTATGGCAACACGAACGGTCTCAAAAACTCTTCTACAAACATTAGAATGAGTTACTATTTAGTTCAAATGTATTGTGTAACACATTTAAAAGCAATTTTCAAAGATGCTTTGTGATGAAAAAGAGTAAATTATACGGTAAGGATATAATGAAAACTAGCAGAACAGTTATCAACAGATTCTTTTCCTATCATTCAAGAAGGCAGCCATTCTTTTAGCAGTGAACTTCAATGAGAAGCCATGGCAGCAAGAAGAACAAACACCAAAATTCCATTGATTATCCTCACCTTCCTGAGGTAACGCGACCGAATCCAACTGGGTGAGACGTGATGCGGAGTCGATTTTTCCTCCACGGGACGAGTCATCAGATGTGTCGATGGCAGCGATGAAACTATATGAACATCATCTGCCAGGACATTCTTGAAATGCTCCAAATCAAATATATCAGAGAACTCACTGCAACCATCAAACATAAGCACACAAACACAAACTTAGCAACTGATATATGAGAAAACACAGAATCTATTTCAGTTCTTATGAATTAGATATTTCATCAAACAAATAGACAAAAAAAATGGATATCTACTTCAAATCAATATATATATCAATCGTGTTCATATACCTTTCATCTCCCCAGATGACGTTCACTTGAAAGATTGGAACAACCAGAGCAGCCCCGAGGATTCTAGCAATCACAACAGCGTCAACGATCTGATTTCTCTGTTGATTCATCCCACCAGAAACTACCACCATCAGATACTTAGTCCTCTCACTAATAACTCCAGTGGTTGTTTTTTTATATTCTTGGCTGAAATCCAAACACGGTTTGTAGCCCAATCCATCAGGCTGTTTCCAGAACTCCTGCTGTTCATTTCCATCTCCAAAACCCTCATCCGACTTCAAAACCCCATTTGAAATCGGCCGAAGCGATTGGATAGAATCGTTCATACTCTCATCCTTCAGAGCATTTTCTCTTTCTCGATCCATTACACCCGATTTCAAAGCCCCATTAGAGACTAAACCCTGCGATTGCGATTGCGACATGAAGCAAGGGTACGAAACATAAGCGAATAAAGGATCGAGATTAAAAGTAAGCTTAAGCATCCCCAAAAAACCAAAGAGAAAAATAGCCAGAAGCCATAGCTTCTTCGAGGCTCTGTAAGTGAAAAGACTGAGATACTTGTCGTAATGTTTAGAAGATTTCTTAGGCGAATCAAGAAGGGATTGAAGAGAAGAAGAAGATAAAGAGTTTATGATTTGAGATGGAACTGAAATGTAACATTGCTTCTTGGAATTACTGTTCTTCTTCGCCATTGACAAGCCAGAGATCAAACTCACAAGCTCTAACACGAAATCACTTCCTCTCTCAGATTATGAATCTCATTAGAAGAAGAAAAGCAAGCGGCGGGAAGAAGAGAAGGAATTTTCCTGATTATGATTACGCGTTGCTGACCAAAATCGGCGGCCTTGTTTTGAAAGGAAGCTTGGAGCTCTTTATATTGGCTTAAATTTTTAATTATTATTAAATTCTAAAAAAAATAATAATCACAATTATAACTCCTTAAGTAAGATTAAATAGAATAATACCCATTTATATATGAAATGACAACTATGCCCCTATGCTTTTTTTAACTGTTAAATATTTCTGAGACGTGTGAAATTCTGAAACGACAATTTATTGCCTGAATTTTTTTAGGTTCGGTAATTATTATTTTAAATTTCAAATGTCCCATCAATTTTTGAATATATATATATATATATATATATATATTATATAGCATGAAATAAAATTTATAAAAGAAAATTATAATTAAAAAGTTTGAAAATAAATTGGTATTTAATTGTTATTTTAAGCCTATAAACATTAATTACTTGTACCAAAAAAATGAATAAATAAAATAATTCAAGGAATTTAAAAGCTTGGTTTTTATTTTTCAATTTTCATAAATTTCCGTGTGGGACAGTTCACCATGTTCAAATTTTGACTAAGGTGAATTTTTTATGTATATTTAAATGTGATTGATACTTTATACTATAATTTTTTATAATATTTATCTTTTAATTCAAATAAAGATATCAGTTAAATTATACCTAAATTAATGTTTTTTTAACGTATATTAGTATTTTAATTCTAAAATTTGTATGATAATATTTTTTTATAAAAAAAATAAAATAATGCTCATATATTTATTATTTAAATGAATGGGTGTAAATATTTTCAATGAATTTCAATATAAAAAAAAAGCCGAAAATCTTTTGAAATTCTTTAAAAAAAAATTAAAAATTAAATAAAAATTTTAAAAGTTTAAATATATTTTCGAAACAATATTAAAAAAAAAAAAAAAAAGACAAAGGCATGTGATTATGCTGCCGTTATTCCAAGACAGGCTGTTGTTTCCCTGTGCTAATATGCCACTCTCATCCAATCAAAATACCCCGTCCTCAATTATTTTCCACCTACAATTTCATTTCCCTGCCAGCTGGCTTCCATTTTCTCTCCACGCTGGCATCCCTTGCCACGTGGGTTTCCATTATGGACCCATCCCCATCAGCAACACCCATTTTTCATACAACTTTCATATTTCTTTTCTTTCAACTTATTTTCTTTTATATGCTAATAAGAATAACAACTAAAAAATAATTAATATGAAAAAGTTATAACATAAATTTTAATTATAATATTTAAAAAATAAAATTTATTTATTGACAATCAATGAATAGCTATAAAATTTAGCTGACGATTTAGATAAATGTCAAATTCAATATCTAAATCGTCAAATTCAATCTATCATGCGTATAAAACGAAATAAATTGATTAATATTATAAAGTCAATTAATAAAACAAAAAAAAAAAATGGAGTCAATATAAGTAATTGAAGAGTAATAGATATACGACATATAGGTGTTTGGATGATTGATAGTTTCCAACCCAATCCAATGGGGTTCCTCAGCCTACAAGGCTCCAGCTGTTTGTTTTTGCCAAAGGCTAAACTTGTGACGTGTTTGATTATTTCCTTATTTTACTCAATTTTTTATGGCTTAAAAAAATTCAACAAATGCACGATTTGGTTGAATTATTAACTTATTTAAGTTAAATTAAGTTTAAATAAATAAAAAAATTTATGTCTCCTCTCCATTAATAAATTCTCCTAAAATTAAAATTACATTAAATTGAATTAAACCAATTCGAATTTATTGTTAATTTTAAAATGCATTTTTGTTTAAATACAATTAATATATATATTATCATTATTTATTCTCCAATCATTTTTTAAAATAATTTTTTTTAACTCTTTTGGAAGATAATTTATCAAAATATATATTTAAAAAAATATTTAAAAATAAATAAATAAATATTTTATGAATAAATTTTCAATTTAAAATGCTTCCATTTTTGGTGATTTGGGCCACTCTCAACTAAATTAAAGCAAAAAAAAAAAAAAAAAAAAAATTTTTTACTCAACCAAATAATAAAATAATTTATATTTTCTAAACCTATCATTTATATTTAAAAAAAAAAACAATAAATCATTTTTCTATTTTAATATTTTTGAAAAAATAATTGTTAAAATAATATATATATGGAAAGTTTTGAAAGTGATGGGAGCTTAGAATTTAGTATAAAAATCAATTGATTGTTGACTAAGACCAAAATAAAAGTTCCCCAATTTTGAAGCATTATGCCTAAACCATACAAATTAATTGATTGTTCTAATTTAGATGCCACGTGTTCTATTTATTAAAATTAATTAAATTTTTTAATTAACTGAAAATAAACGCCACAAATACCGTCAAGCATAAATTTTAAAAATAACATTTTTAATATTTTTTTCCTTAGGATTTATTATATTATTATTTAGTTTAATATTATCCATAATTTTTTTAAAATATATCATTCGTCACCTTGTCTATCATTAGACTTAAAAAACTAAATCATTCATTAAACTATTTTCTTTAATAATTGTGCTTAGTGTCAAAACTAAATTAAATTAAATTATTATAGCATATTTTGATAATAATCATATGACCCTCTTTTTAATATTCAATTTACTAAGTTGAATTAGGTCATAAAAATTATAATCATATGTTTTTATAACATTCAAACGATTTTTATTTCTTAACAATTATTGAATGATGAATAAAAAATTAATAATTAAAATGGATTTTATTGGGTTATTATTGGATTTGTTGGAATAATATAATTCCATATTACCAAGCCACTTACAATCACACACATATATATATATATATATAAATTTGGTGCATTTTTCCTAATGGTTGGTGTACTTCACCCAATAGTTGGCCTTATTTTTGGCTCTTTCTTTAATCTCAATTCATTGATTTTATTTTTGGGTTCGTTTTCTTTTTCCTCTTTCGTATTCCCTTGCATCTCCTACAACGTGGTCACATTATATACCTCTCACTTTTAAGAGTGAAGACTATTCTGGTAAACCAACATGGGTCCATTTAGCATGTTTTGTCTTCACACATATGCTTGCGAGAAAAAATTCCCAAGAGGTCCGAACAAAGTATGCTTAACTTTGGAGTTCTTATAACCGAACCACTGAAAAGGAAAAGGAAGGTGCACCTTGTTCATATAGTTAGTAACTTCAACGACCCATGCTCAGGATTCGAAATCTAGATTTGACACCTAGCGATCCCAATACGGTCACATTACTTGCTCCCACTTGCTCCTTGCTTCTTAAGAGTGAACAAGACGAACATTTTGTCCTCACTCACATGCATCCCAAGAAAATTTCTATGATTGAGCCACCAAAAAGAAATGTGCATTTTGATGGTATAGATAGTAACTTTCTTAGTCATCTTATTCTCACGAAATTCTTATGATTGTGCATCTTAATGGTATAGGTAGTAATTTTTATTTTCTTTAACGCTCTTTTACTTGAGTGTCACCGTAACTTTCAATTATTTTAAACATTTTTTAGTTATCTTATTCTCAAGATTGCTCTCATTTAGATGTTGTCTTCGTTTATTCATATATCTCTTCTGTAATCGAGTCTCACATTCAAACATTGTTTTTATTTGTATGAACTGAAATTATAAGTTAATTTATATATATATATATATAGAGGAAATAGTTTCTTGGGCACTAAGCATGGCAGTTGGATGGTTAATATCAAAAGTGAGAAAAATCAGCTGAACCACTCCATTAATTGTCATTTAATAAAATAAAATAAAGTAATTTTTGTTGATTCCACAAAATTTTAATAATAAAAATAGAACATTATAACTTATTTAGAAAAAAAATATATATATTGATAACCTAACATTAAAATGTTTTAAAATTTTAAAATTTTATGAATATTTTTTAAATATAATATTAACTATAAAAATATTTTTAAAAAAGTTCACGAGTATTAATATATATATATATATATATATAAATTTTAAAGGTATTTTTGAAACATTATTAATTTAAGAGTATTTTTTATTAATTTAGGTATATAGTTATTTTTAGTTTTATTAAAAAGTTCAAAAGAGTATTAATATATATATATATATAAACTTTAAAGGTATTTTTGAAATATTATTAATTTAGGAGTATTTTTTATTAATTTAGCTAAATTATATTAGGTATCTAGTTATTTTTAGTTTTATTAAATAGATTAAAAAAATTATAATTTTTTTTTTTACTACCCATCTTTAAAAAAAAAAAAATGTAGACAATAATATAAAAATAATGGGTGTGACATTTAGGCCCCTTGTGCATGAATGATGTTTGTGTTTGTAAGATTGAATGATTAAAAAAAAAAAAAAAAAAAAAAAAAAAACTCAACTTTTAAAACTAAACAGTTACTAAATAAGAC